CAGCCAGGCATTCTAGCCTGGCTTCTACTTACTCCCAGGGGAACTGAAATCTGGCAACTGAGCCTAGGGCTAGAAGCTTGTGGCCCTCAGCTCAGAAGCTACACAATATTCACTGGGACCCCAGGCAAAATTGGCATTCCCTGCACACCTGCCAACAGCAGCCTCTGTCCTGGAGAGACGGGAGGCCTCTCCATGACCTGTGCTCACAGCTTCCACAGTACCAGCTTTCTCGTCATCCTCGCTGTCAGATCCCCCAGAGGAGCTGCTGTCAGAGGCCACCAGCGGGGCCTTCCTAGTGACACACATGTTCCAGGCACAGGGCGAGGTAGGACCAACTGCAAGACAAGGAGCCCTGTGATACTCATGAGGGCAGAGTGGCCAGAGAACACAGCCTCAGGGCCCCTAAACCTGTTATTCGCCAGTGGGAAATGTGAGGTGGACAAAGCTCATGTTGGCTTTCTGAATGGTACACATATGCACCTACATGTCCGTAAGAACCACATGGACTACTATGTGCCCTTCATGTGGACAATATCCCCCACCCCACAAGACAGGATATATGTATGCTTTTCTCAGAGGAGGAAGGAGAGGCTCAGGGAAGGCACTTGAAGCCCAGCACCCAGGATGTCAGGGACTGCTGTTACACTCGCTCTGCCTGCTCTCGGACCTGCTCTCTTGAGAGTCCACTAGGGAGTGGGGGATGGAGGGCAAGGACTTTTTGATCAGGCCCCATCCACATACTTCACAACGGGATCCAGGGCTGCTGGTGGGTGGCAGAGTGCAGACCTGAGCCTGATTGGTCCTGCCTCTGTGGCAACCTAATGGCCAGTGTTGCCCCTCTGGACCTCCAAGGCTAGGGACTTCCATCTGTACATGGCAAGTCCAATCCCACAAGTGTATATAAATCTCAATACCACAAATACATGGTCATAGCTGGGGTCTTGACTACTTCCCACTGTCCCAAGGGATGCTGGCCTGTATCAGGCCTAGGAGCTAGGCAAGGCCAGGTCCCCTTGTAAGAGCCTGGGGTGCAGTTTGAGCTGCTGCTACTCACAGGCTTTCTCTGGGCCTGCACTCTGGCCACCCTCGGCATGGCTGCAGTCCATGTCCACAGGAGAGCTGCACCGGGGCCCTGACTCGGAGCTACAAATGAGGATGAGGACAAACTGAGCCTATGGGGCAACACTGGCCCTGAGCCCCCCAACAGGCAGTTCTTGGCATAGCTCTATATGCTGATATATGTTACCAGCAGAAAGGCTGGAAGTCAGTGAATTTGGCCCAGCCTTTCTCCTCTGGAGCTGAGGGGCCGGTTGTCCACACACTAGAACCCACATCCCTGGCAGCTCCTGGGGCTGCAGACATCTGGTTTATTGGCTCATCAAACACCGCTGTCCATGCAGCACCTGCCAGGGGAGATAACAGCAGTTAAGAGTCAGGAGACCTACTATGCCACTGACAAGGGAGAAGCAGCACCAACATAGAGATGAATGGAAGGCTCCACAGAGCTCAGCAAGAACACAAGGATGTTCCTCTTAGGAGACCCCAAGGAAATCCAACCTGCCTGAAGTGTCAGAGCTGGCAGAATTCTCCAGTTGGTACCTTGCAGGGGGCCCCCACCAAAGGATAATATGGCCTCAGACCCCAGAATACTTAGGGGGAGAGGGCCTCAAGGGTCCTGATAAACTGTCCACTGTCACGGCAGGGGGGGG